GCAACAATTTTAACTCTTCAGAAAAGAAGTCAGCCTTCTAAGTGTCAACATTCAGCTAGCAGCTCCATTCAATCAATAAATACAACAAATATTTATAAAAAAATGAGTAGCCAATGCAAAAGAGCTCGTTTTTTACTTTTACTATACTCTACTGCATGTACAACTTTTCATACATAAAATAGTACACAAAGAGGTGCACAAATCTATATGAAACTTCACAAAAAACTTAAAACGAATTAATTAATGTCATCATGTCTTTCTGTTCATGTGATGTGATGTGCTGAGATATCTTCATGAAAATGAGCCATATCCACGCGCCCAGAAGATCTATTTTTTTTACAAATGAGCCGCCCATCGATGATAATTTTCGACGAAATATTTTTCTGATATTATTCAACCGTCCAAAAAACTTTTACATTTCTTTATTACATATTGACATTGATATGATTTGAGTTGATGCGGCTGCTCCCTTCTCAAAGGTTCAGACCATTTCGTGTGCCTGAGAAAGCCAACAAGATTACCAATTTTCGATGAAGTTAGCTCAGCCAGACAGTCGAAGAAGTTTATCCCGCTGAACTTGTTTTGCGCCGATATCAAGGCTGGACTGTGACAGCTGCGGCAAAAATTATTGAAGTGGTAGTCCATTATTTTCCCGTGAATCCTCACTAAAAAAATTCAACTGTTATTATGCCTGTCTATGCTGCAGTGAATCCAAGCTTTAGTTGCATTAAATCTAATTACGTAGCAGCTCGTTTGTAATTTCCTGAATAGGTCTAGAGGAAAGAAGATTATGCCGATTTTTTTGACTTCGGTCGAGAGGATGTTTAGTGGAATGGAAACGAAAATGATCAGGTTTCTTAAAAGAGATTCTACAAGATTTACAACTGTTGGAGTTCCATTTGTTGAAGAGACTCTATTATGAATTCATGAAGAATGTTGTTAAAAGCCCTCTCAATGTCAAGGAAGATACCAAGCGCTTACTCATTCAAGGCAAGCTCCTTTCCGATGCACCCAACTAAATCATGTGGGTCTGTATCGACAAACTTGTCCTTAGGGTGGGCATGTTGCTTACTAGGAAGGCTATCTGGTGAAAGATTTTGGTGAATATAGCTGCCTTTCAAATATTTTTAAGAGGAAAGAGATAAGACTAAGAGGCCGAAAGTCCTTTGGACTGACGTAGTTGACTTTACCGACTTTTGGGCTAAACAGTGCTTCGCCATTAGGGCAAACCTGAGCAATATACCCTTCACACAGACAGGCTTTGTAAATTTTACATAGAAATGTGCCTAGCTCGGCGGGAAAAAATACCATCTAGCCCTGGAGGTTTAAGGTTTTGGATTTTAAAGATTTGGCGCCCACTACACTGGTCTGCGACATACCATGTTGTTGATAACAGATCTACACTCACTTCTATGTCGCTGCGGGCAGCCTTCTAAGTATGTGGTTTTGCTTACCTTATTGTGGCTTTGAAAGATTTTTGGCAAGTCAGGCCGAATTTTCTGGCTTCGTTAATGAGTTTTGGGCTACTTTTTTTCGGCTTAGAGATTTCGTTGTTTCACCATTTGGGTCTTTTCTTTCTTGATGGAATAGGTAGAGGATATGAAGTCTCAAAAGCGGTGGCAAAATCTCTGCTTCAGCAATTTTCGATGATGAATTAAACTCACCAAGAGAAGCAGAGCTGGTGTTAGATGCCACCACTTCATCAGTATTTCACGTTAAGCAGAGCCTATCGGGAGGTGAGCTTTGTAAGAAGGATGCTGTAAGAACTCTTCTAAAAGTCACACAGTCAGTCCTCTTCCTATTTCTGTAGGCAGCGATTGTATGGTGATGTTCTCATGGTGAGGTGAAAGGATATAAATAGATGGTCAGAGAAGGTGGGCTCACTGATTACATGTGCATATTGACTTACACTTATTATGTCTAATGCTGCAGATAGAGTTATTCTTCTGTTATTTCTAATTGTACGAGCTCTAAAAAACTGTCTTAAGTCTAATTGATGTTGGCGTGTTGCCCATGAGCTTAGCTGATTGGACAATTTAACGCTTTTTGGCCCAATAACGTCAGGGAAGCGCTAATCCGTGGCCAAAACATTTTTTTTAAATAAAGATTTGCGAATAAATAAGTGAGAAAAATGGGTTTAAATTAATTAATTAAAAAATAAGAAGGAATTTAACTGAATTGGTGATAAATTTATGCAGGAATAGATAGATGTATGTGTTTATGTTACGCATACAAAATGACATGTTGGATAAGGTTGAACACAGTAACGACTTATTTCATATTTAAATAACATTTAATATTCACATGGCTAGAAGCTATATATATATATATATTTTTTTTTTTTTTTGAATTTCCACGCTTTATGTTTTACTCTTCCTTATACTATATCAACTACAAGTGGTCTTTATCACATAACTGACCTTTCGCATCTTTTCATATGCATCGTCAGGCGAAACCATACAAAAGACTTAAGCACCGAACTCGATGACCGCAACACATACGCATTCAAGCGTCTCAATTTAATTAAATATAAACTACGGTTATTGTTGTGTCTTTGAATTTAACCGAAACCACATAACAACAATACATTGACCACATAATTGCTTCGTAGACATAGTGCATTGCAAGACGGCTAGTGATGCTTGGTTGACTGACGGTCAAAAAAAAAAAAACAAAAACACTTAGCTGTAAGTCAATTCAGTAGTCGCGTGAGACACATGTGTAAAGTGTCCTTGAAATAATTTTCATGCGGTTAGAGCATTTTGTAACGAATTTATATAAAGTGCCTATATTTATGTGTAGGCATAAAAAAGAACCTTTAGTGCGGTGTCGTTGTTGTGCTGTTCGCCGGCGATATTTTTTCGATATTTTAGTGGCTTGCTGACTAGAGGTTTTTGTCAGACTTTCAAATAATGCTATTAGAATGCGATTAAAAAGACATTTTGGTAGAAACCACAACCATTGTAGGAAGATATATATATATTTTTTAAAGAAAATATTGCAACGTCATTGATAACCGTTATGCGGTTAATAATAATTAATCGAAAGCATATGTCTGGCTAATTTTTAATAACTTGTATGTATATACATACACATGCACATACAAACACTTTCACTAACTCGAATACAACTAGTTGAAAACAATTATTATTTTCGAAAATGATGCCATAAAATAATCACATAACATAAGATTGCTGCTACGTGATGCACCTTTCTACCTCATACGTGAGTTAACTCTTCGTTTTATTTAACAACGCAACAAGGCTGCGCAAAATTTCCGCCAACAGCGCCCACATAACATACATACATACATAAGAATTTGTATGTCTTCAAAATTCTTTTCGCATCTAATTAATTTCGGTATAATTTTCATATAAATAAAAATAAAAGACTGGAGTGTTTAAAAATAATCATAATAAAAATCTTCTACGTGATTTGCAACTTTTTTCAGACAAACTTTGCAATGCATAGCAAGCTGTGTGTACGTATGTAGATCTATAATTCAATACCAATAATGGCCAATCAATAACGGTTTGAGTGATTTGACCTTAAAATTCCTTAAAAATAAACCATAATTGAGATGTATTATATTTTGGTACTTTTTACTAGGCTGTGATCGATGTCGAAGAAAGAATAAAAGGCGATAATAATGGAGTTTCATACATATATGTACGTCACTCCGCTTGAATCTGGTACCGACCTGTAAATCATGTGTGTGCTCTTATGTAAAAGTAATAAAAAGAGATTCCTCGGAACTGTTGAGAATCGCTGTTTTATTGAACTAGCGAATTTCTTCAAGTTTCAGAAAGTCTTCATTAGTTGATTTCAGTTTGATGTAAGCAGAAATGTTAATTATACAAACACTTAACATAAATTCCCAGTAAGCAAATGCTATGCGGCAATCTCGGACGAAAAATATCAGTGAATTTTCTATATTTATTTATCGATAAAAAAACTCGTAGATAAAAGAGTCGTTTGAGTCGCTCAGTGCACACATCGATTAGCTCGATAAAAGGAATGTAATGTATATTATTTCTAAAAATTCCTCTGATTAAATGAATTTAAATATAAAATGTAGAGTACATAATTGCGGAAATAGCTTTCATCTAACGGTATATAAAATTGATAAAAAAAAATAGCCAACAGATAATTTTAAGTAATTTTACATTTTTTATGTGACTGATGGAGTTAATCGATTTGTCAACTGAAGAAAGTAATAAAATTAAATTTAGTCTTTTAGTCTTTATATATTTAAGTTTTTTATTACATAAAAGTTAGTTGTTATACATTTTTATCACAGCTTTTCAATAAAAATGAATGTTGGCATTTCGGTTATAACATAGGTTTTGCAATTATTTCATAGCAGCACAGTTTACCTTCAGGATGTAATAATTTTTCTTATATTAATGCATTGAAATGCTCTATCTTCATTAAAGTCATGTTTGAATTGTATGAGATAGGGTTTGGACCTTTCTTACTTTATCCATCGTACGAGGTGTGTTCAAAAAATATCGCGAATTTTGTGTATTTTCAAAAATTATTTATTTATTCATGAATATCTATTTTCTCCCCTTCAAAGTAATCCCCATGAGATATTAGACACTTGTGCCAACGGTTTTTCCAATCTTCGAAGAACTTCAAAAAATCAATTTTTTTATCTTGTTCAGCTCCTCCTACGATGCTCGTATTTTAAGCCAATTTACTGGAAGCCCTGTGATGGTCACTTTTCTGTTAATGATAGACTGTTCTAAAGGTTTGGTTGTCAAAAAATCTTGGTGAGTCATTTGATTAGATGAAATGGCGCTTTCTCTTAACATGTTTTGATAATATGGTACCATTCATATGGTGAAAAAATGTTTTGATTTTTTGTCGCAAAAATTGCCAAATTTTTAATGTAAATTTATTCAGCTATTATTTCCGTGAGAGCTATGAAGCCTACTGTGAAGAGAGAATGAAACTACAGAACAAATACAGTGTTACTGAAACGTTTTATTGTACATTAGAGTATGGAGGTATTCAAAATGGCTTCTGTAATAAATTTCTAATTTATCATTCAGGAAAGTGATTATAAATATAAAAAATTATGACTATACGAAAGGCTCAGACAGATTTTCCAAAAAGTGGAGTTAATCGATATGTGCACTGAGCGGCTCATTTATCAATTTCATTAGTTTTGCAACGACAATAGTCATTTACAAAATCAAACGCTCCTTATGAAATAAAAGCTCTCCGTAAAAATCCACTAGCCTTTCGAAATCGGCTTACAATAAAAAGTAGTTCCCTCCATTTATAAATAAAATCCAAAATGTTGCGCCTAAAAATATGTGCAAAATATATCTACCCCGTAACATATTCACCAGCTCACTTCTTAGTAAGAGTTATTCTTCGATAAAAGTCTGTTTAAATATATGAAACCGCCGAAAAACTGAAAAAAAAAATAAAAATTATAAGAGCAAATGTTATATTTATTTAGCCTTAATAAGTCAATTATTAAACTATATTTAAGACAGTAGTCTGCTTTAAAGGCTTAAGCCGATTCATCTTTTTTCTTTAATCTATTTTAAAACTATCTAATAATATGTCCTCAAATTTTCAGTGGTCCTCAAATTTTCAGTGGCCTCAAATTTTCAGTGGCCAACATATTTTAGAAGCTAGAGCAGTTTTATTAGCCGAGCGTCAAGCAGGTTGAAATGTTTGAAGTATGTTTTCTCTTGTTTCCACTTGTAAAAACGGTGCTGATGATGGCAAAATAAATATATGTCCGATCGAAAAAAATTCATAGTCAGTATTATATCTATATGAACTAAAAAGGTAAACAAAAGTAAACGGATTTTTTTTTGCAGCCTGAAGTGATTTTGTTTGACAAAATTCAAAATAAATTTGGAGTTTTCCAACTTCTTCGTTATTTTTATAGTTCATACAGAAGAGGCACACATAAAAATTAAAGTAGAAGATTCGACTCTTTCAGATGCATTGCACGATCTCCATCACCGGCACCGTTTTATTTAGTGGCTTTGACAGGTATTTTGACAGCGTTTAAAGCGCTTGTTTAGTCATATATGCATTGATTGAAGGTTATCATACGACCATAACGCTTCTAGTCTACAGTGACAATCTCGTCGTTTTCGTTTTCAAAGAAGTAAGATCGAGTTTTTTGGCTGTAATGGCCTCTTTTCAAATATTTGAGGATTTACGGAACCCAAAAGCGACAATTTCGCATACGTACGTAACCTTGAGTGAGAAATTTACCTAGCGCTGAAGAAAATCCTAGTCATTCGAGCATCAAATCGACGTATGTACACCGTAGGGAATAGTCAGCTGGCATTGCAAAATACGCCATAATGAGTCGTAGGAACATTGTGTGATAGCCGCATTCGGGTCTTCGGCTGCACTTTCATTTGGAGTAGCGAAAACGATGATGCACAGGCCTTACAATGTATATAGAGTCTCTACAAATTTCTTAAAAGATTTACCAATTACTTGCATAATTGGGCGATTATGTGTACAATGATCTCGTCTTAAAGCTCGAAACATGGTCACGTTTGAATCACCATTTTTTTTTATAGTTTTTAACAATTTTAATGCGTTGTGCGTTTGTTAAGCGAACGACTTTCATACAATAAATGCCTGGATCTTCTGTCTACTAACGATGAGAAGCTCGTAACAGATTCAGCTCCTTCAAATCTAGACTGGTTCCGGCCCACACAAATTAAGAATTCACATTTATATGGATAGTCAAGTAGAGGTTGCACTATGTAAAGGTGCTATCAGAAGACCAGTGGTGGGTACCACTGATGGATAAATGGTTTTGCCAATTCCTCTTAGAGAAAAACTAAAACAAGAAACGTTTTTGTATGTCAAGCCACTAAACTCTGGATACCTGCACGGGGATTTAAGCAAGCAAAAAATATATGCATAACATAAGACGTGAAGCTTAGTAAGTTCAGTACTTGATTGATTATATGGGGTGGAACGCAATGTTTCTGGTATCAATATGGAAGTGATATCGTCTAAGTAGGACTTCTTAAAGGGTCAACCGGCCCTACCTAACCCATTTTTAATTTAAATTGTATTAAATTAGATTTAATTTTAAAAATTTAGAAGCAGTTTCAGTAATATCGTTTCTGAACTCTAAAAATAAGATTTGATGTGAATAAGAATAGGAAAAATAAAAATATATAATATATATACTATATATAATTGTAGTTTTGCGTCTTGATGTTTTTCCAACAAAAGGAGGGACCTACAGTTTATACTAAGCCGCCTCCGAACGGCTGATTGGGTTAATATAAATATGAAATAAAACTTTCCAGTACCAATAGCACCTGTCTGTGACTGTGACGTAAAATCAAAATAAATTAATAGCCACTGACATGGTTTTGGCACCTGTTTATGGGGGCCTTTATGGAATCGTAAACCGCATGTGGAGCCCGACAAAAAATCATTAAATCAACTTACCCTTAATAATTTCTTCTTGTTTTCAACGAAGTAATAATGTTTGCTTTCAAAAAAAAAATTATTAATTTATGGATTTTCTTCCTTTTTGTTTTGATTTGTCAGCTGATTTCGATGAATTTCGAATATGAATTAAGAATGACAACGTTTTGGTCGTAATTAGTATACTAATTGAGAAGGTACTGTGATCTGAATACTTTGTTTTTTTTTTACTATTGTTGTTATTGTTACTTTTTATTGTAGAACATTACAAATTTAAAATTTTTTCTGAGATCGCCTTGGAAAAATGCTGAAGGGCAGAAAAATTGTTGGGAAATACTTTCCTTCAGCTCCGTTTGCCTCGGTTCTGGTATATTTCATGTCAATTATAAATGAATATATTCATCATAGCTCCCAACATACAACTCGGAAACAAAGCGTGGCGAAATCTTTATATGAATCAGTCTTAAAAAACATGTACACTGAAAATCAATATGCAATACACAACAACGAATATTATTTGCTTTGCTATGTATAACCAACTTCCACTTTTGAAATCATAAAAAAATTAAATAAATAAAGTGTGTTAAAGGACTCATTATAACGAGATGAAATAAAACCACTTAATTCAAACTTAAGCCAAAGAACGTATACTAATATACGTTCTTTGCATAAGTTTACATTCTATTGTGAACGCGTTTTTATTTACCAATTCACAATAGTTCTCTTTGACAACTGTTCGACTGGTTTGACGTTTCTTGTCGTTTCCTTACGTGCATGTGTGAGCCCGTATTGATTCATTGCCGGCTGGAAATAAAATAAAGTAAATTTGAACTTAATTGTTGACGTTGAATTTGCTTGCTTATTAATTAATTGCATTTCAGTTGCTCCAACTCACTGCCAGTATCAGATAACCAAATTCGGGCGAAAACGTAGGTAAGTTTATATCAACCACATTGAGGTTATGAACTAGGCTGAAGCGAAAACATACGCTGGCCACTGTCGCTGCCAACGATACAAATAGTTTCCATATATGGAGAGAATGGATTTGAAAACATTAAACGTATTATTTTATAGATGAGTTCAAGTATCCATTTTTCAGACAGTTAAATTATCGCAATGCCACCGAAGAAGCACGATGAGCCCGAACGAAAGCCGTTGATTGGACGTATTGGCACAAATTTACGTATTGGTATTGTTGGTGTACCTAATGTTGGCAAGTCGACATTCTTCAATGTGCTAACTAAAAGTGCGGCACCAGCGGAGAACTTCCCCTTCTGTACCATCGATCCAAATGAGAATAGGTATTCCAATTATGAGTTATTTTAAAGATACACCATATATAGTATATATGTAGATTTTTCTATAGTTAATAGACTGCTCCTTTAACTGCAAGCTTTCCCATTCCGTATGTATCTGCCGTAGATGCATAGATTTTACAAATATATAATTACAGTTATTTGGAAAAGAATTGCTCAAGTAAAAAAAAGGATTGTTGTAATCTATGTGCTGCCGGCGTATTTGTGAATAGTGAACCTATCAAATCTCATTGATGTAAGGTCAACTGAAGGTTTGCCCAATTGAGCTGTGCAATTGGGCTACAGTAAGATGTTGCTATTTTCATCACAAGACTAAATTGGCCTATTGGAAAGCAGTATGAAATTATTATAATTTACTAAAAATATTCTACTACATAAAGCCAGCGAAAACACGTTTGTACGAATGATTATTATGCCGTTGGCCACTGTGTAAAATGGTACCTGCCAATCCTTCATTTCCAAACAAGTGCGCCTTAGCTTTGGTATAAATGAAACGAGCAAAATAAGCAATAATGGGCGTTGGTAATTTCATATGCAAATTGCTTCGTGGTTGTGCAAAATTTTAAAGATTTCGTTAAAATGTCTGCCAATGGTCGAATCAAAATGTATTAGCTACGAACGGATGGCCGACGACAACGGGTATCTACTGAGTGTTCACCACATATACATCGAAATGACCAACTTTGCCTGTGGACATTTTTAAATTACAGGAAATTATAGAAAATTGCAATGATTGGCTGTGCTCAAGTGCATTACCACTTGCGACATCATATTGGAATATGGCAGCACATCATCCATACATATATTTCGTAAAAACCAGTTTTGTGCGAATAACAATGAAGATTCATAATCCTGTACTAGGCTTGTTACTTTTAAGATACAATAATTCAATTATAATAATATTAAAAGCTGGAAAATATTTCAGTCTACCACTTGTTAAACTTACGTTAATTGTTTTATTATTTGTTTCATTACATAGGGTACCAGTACCTGACGATCGTTTCGATTTTCTGTGTGATTATCATAAACCAGCTTCGTGAGTATATATCTACGTATTAAGACAATAATTTTCTAATCTCATTCTTTAATTTTTCTTGCAGGAAAGTTCCCGCCTACCTTAACGTTGTGGATATTGCTGGTCTGGTAAAGGGAGCCTCCGAGGGCCAAGGTCTCGGCAATGCTTTCTTATCACATATTAGCGCTTGTGATGCTATTTTCCATTTATGCCGTGCTTTCGAAGATCCCGACGTTACGCACGTGGAAGGTGAAGTGAATCCAGTTCGTGACTTGGATATTATTTCTGAAGAACTACGTCTTAAGGATGAAGAAAAACTGATGCAAAACTTAGATAAATTAGAAAAAGTCGTTGCGCGTGGTGGAGATAAAAAACTCAAACCAGAGTACGATTCCATGCTCAAGATAAAAGGCGTATTGGTGGATGAAAAGAAGCAACTACGATTTGCCGACTGGAATGCACATGATGTGAGCATTGAATTTAATTAATACGTTAAGCATTTTATTAAAATTACTTATTATTATTAATATTATTTAATTTTCATTAGATTGAAACTTTGAATAAGTATCTCTTTCTTACCACGAAACCGGTGATATATCTTGTGAATTTGTCTGAAAAAGACTTTATACGCAAGAAGAATAAATGGTTACCCAAAATTAAAGAATGGGTTGACAAGCATGATCCAGGCGCAGTTATAATTCCATTCTCTGGCGCTTTTGAACACACTTTAGCGGAGAAGGACGACCTAGAGCGTAAAGAGTACGAAGAAGAAGTCAAATGCAAGAGCCAATTGGACAAAATCATTGTAACAGGATACAAAGCATTGCAGCTGGAATATTTCTTCACCGCCGGAGCAGATGAAGTTAAAGCATGGACAATTCAGGTAGATACTCAATAACCCCATTATTAGCAAAACACATACATATTTACTTGTTTGCTTTGTTTTCAACTGGTTATATTAGAAAGGCACCAAGGCACCGCAAGCTGCTGGACGCATTCACACAGACTTCGAAAAGGGTTTTATTATGGCTGAAGTAATGCATTTTAATGACTTCAAAGAAGAGGGCTCAGAAGCAGCTGCTAAAGCCGCTGGTAAATATCGTCAGCAAGGACGAAATTATGTTGTTGAAGACGGTGACATAATCTTTTTCAAATTTAATGCTGGAGCTGGTTTAAAAGACGCTAAGAAGAAATGATACTGTGTATTTATGGTGTTGATTGCAATGTTTTATATTAATTTGATTTTGTACTCTCAAAGCTTTCTGCTTGCTTGAATTTGTATTTTTGCTACTTATATTTTTAAATTAATATATTATGTATGTTGGACATTTTCAAGAAAGCATTGCATAGTCTGTGTATTAATGCGGGAAATTTTAGTTTACAATCTGAGATCTAAGAGGAAATTATTATTAGGAGCATTTGAATATTCTCGTTAGTCAAGTATGTGATAATGTGCAAAATTAATCAGCTGTGTTCTGTTTGTTCGACAAGAATGACGAAATTCACAAGTGAATGAAGCAAAGAACGTAAATGTATTTACATTGTCGGAATGAAGTGAGAACAGCTCTGTTCGGTGAGAAATGTTAGTAGCGGAATGTCGAAATTGCGGTTATTTTCAGATTCGACTTTAAGAATGTGACGGAGTGTGCCATCGCTGACATATGTTTGCTCAAATCAAAGAACGTATATTAATGATTATATGAATATACGTTCTTTGCCCAAATGATCGGAAGCCTTCTTGTGGGGATATGTATAGTCATAATTTCGGGCGTTAGTTGCATTTAAAAGGACAAATTTTTATGTAAGCTAACTTAGAGAGGGAAGTATACATTATAAGTATTTAGTTTCTTTATTCCGTGAATTAAATCAAAGAACGTATAGTAATATACGTTCTTTGACTTAGCGCTCAAGCGTGCCTTTTGCGCTTACGCGTTGAATGTGATTGCACATGATGGTTTTATTGTTGTATATTCACAATAGCAGTTTGACAGCAATTCAAATTGAAAGTCAGCAATAGGTGTCGCGCTAAGCGCTATAGAACGCATCATAACAAGTAATGAGCTACAGATGCCGCTGACACTTAAGAATAGTTTTCAGTATGGCGAATTCCTGAAATCGTATATTGGAGTTGGGAAAAATAGCGTATACCAAATATGTTCATGGGCAAAATTCTTAATCGAAATCAGAGAACGTAAATGCCCTTATTCGGAGATGTTATTGTATTTTAGTATTGTGCTCAAATAAAAGATAGAAACTAATTAAATTTAAGAGATTATTGAACAGTTGAAAATATAATCCAGAAAGGGTGTTTTTATGGGCATGTGGCTTTATTATAAAGATAAGGGCAAGTGACAGTTGAGACAGTCTCGACTAAACTTCAGCCGGCATGTCTAACTTTCGATGACTTTTCGCAGCGAAGGCGTCAATGGTCTCAGATTACACAAAATCTTTCGAGAAATAGCCCAGCGGTTTTAAATCGCACGATATTGGAGGCGAATTCAGGCTCAAAAAAAGTCATGGATGTAACGGACAATATTTTTTACTATCGTACCCATTTAACGAAAAGTTAACTTCATCCTTTTCTACTTCTTCACTACAAGACAATTAAGACTCCAACCAGCAAAACCCTCGACTACCCTCTTCCACAGCTAGAAGAAAGAATACCTGCTCGATCTCGATGTGAAAATTGATAACGTAAATTCCAACACAAAATAACTTGAAGTTATTGGGTATCACATTCGAAAGCCTATCCTACACTCCCTCCCACACGACTACAACTGTCACAAAACTTCAGGGCCGCAACAAAATCCTCAAAACGTTAGTCGGCAGCCCTTGGGAAAGGCAAAAAAACACGTTGTTGGCATCCCACAAAGCAATTGACAACTAAGCTGCTTCTTTCTGGGCGTCGGGGAATAGTGAGATGCAGATGAAGAAACTACAAATCTGCCAAAATACCGACCTCAGGACCGTCACTTGCTCAGCGAATTGTCTGTTGTACGAGTTAAGCATCATAATGATTTGCTTTGCGAGCAATTTCTGCTGAGATGCTACCGTAGGGATACTTACTAGGTGCCGAACTACCACCTGGGGACATCAGAAAGACAGTACGCGACCTTAAGGTCATCTGCAACACAAAACGCTAGATTATACGGTTTACAGGCATTAAACGCCATTCACCGAGAGTCCGACAACACCTTCCTGAATTCTTTTTGTTCTCGGGTATCTGGATATTGTAGCAGGCTTAACTTCTACCGATCCAGACTTGGCCCCAACATACCCAACGTATGCACTGCAGGCAATCAGTCCCCGCTCGACAGTAACCAAGCAACTCATCTAACCCCCCTTTCCCTGTGGTACGAAGCTATCGAAACTGCTTGTTTATTGGATCCTCTGGTCCTGACTTCCTTTTACCTGGAAATGGCCAGAAATTATTCTTTTATATATGGTTCAAGCAGCTTCCGGTCTTAGAAGTGTCCTCTGGACAGCAATCATCTGGAGGCGAGCTAAAGTGAGAAGGCGATTTCCCTCGCGCTTGTACAAGGGTTAATGAAAGTTCGATTAAAGCCTCGGATGAGAGAACCGGCTGGTTGAAGTCCTCAAAAGGTTAAAGGCTATGAACATCGCCGTCGAAGAAATGCGATGCACAGGTAACGGACGGAAACAAGTAGTGGATCTTACTATCGCAGTTGGAGTTAAAGATAGTCTTCGTCGCCAAGTACTGGCATTTACTCAGGTGGCTGAACGTCTAGCTACAATCCGCAACAAAGGAAGATTTTTCTACATTTCGATGATGCTATCAAAGAGGCTTTCTATGAGCGCTGGTCGCTAAAAGAGATATTTTTGGTCTCCATAGCAAAATACCTTCTCCCCTGAGTATGATCGCCTTTTCATGTGGCTGTAGCCGGATAGAAAATCGCACAATCAAATCTCTCTTCAGTGTTCTTGACGTTCTTACCCTCCAGGAATCCAATATTGACTCGGTCCACTATGTTGCAGTGTGTCAAGGAACGCCCGTCAACAAACACAAGGAAGGTTCGGCGTTAAAAAGCTATAATCACAACAAACAGCCGAAGGGTTTTCTACTCGGCTTGCTCACCTGTTTTCTGCGAGTACACATCAGCAACTTCGTATAAAGGAATGGCATATCAAATTCCCTACTTCCAACCGCTACGAAAGCAATTGGTTTTCAGCAATTCCAGAAAAAGAGCTGATAAGATGAGGAAAGACGAACTTTAGTGGAGGGAAACATACTATCTAACTCGCAACCTTGCAATTGACTGTAACACGCGAGATTTGAAATAGATAGCGAGAGCTGAAAAAGGAAATAAGACGCAGTTGCTAGACGAAAAAAGAAGCGGGCCGTAATGCATGAGTATGAAGAGCTTGAGAAGCTAGCCGACAAGGGTAACACTTGAACATTCTATGCAGAGAGGCGACTAACCGAAGGTTTCAAGACCGGAATATACTCATGTGAGAATCTGAGAATCAATGTGGACATATGTTGATCGATGTACAGAGCCTGCCTGCGGAACGCTACCTGACTGTGTTCAAGTTGGAATAACGATTGCCCGCTTAAAAACCCACAAAACGGCTAGAGCTGACGGCCTGCATGCAGAACTATTCAAACATGGCGGCTATCAACCGTAGGATAAGCCTCCTTAATATCGCATATAAGGTCCTATCGAGCGTTTTGTGCGAAAGACTGGAGCCCACCGTAAACAAACTGATTTGACCTTATCGCCAAATCTTAGAAAGACCCGTGAAAAGAGGATCGTCACCCACCACCTCTTCGTCGATTTTAAAGCAGCCTTCGACAGCACGAGGAGGAGCTGCTTTTACGCCGCTATGTCTGATTTTGGTATCCCCGCAAAACTTATACGGCTATGTAAACTGACGTTAAACAATACTAAAAGCTCAGTCACGATCGGGAAGGACTTCTCCGAGCCGTTCGATGCTAAATGAGGTTTTAGAGAAAATAATACGAGTTGCAGAGTTGAATAGAAAAGGTAAAATCTTCTATAAGAGTTTACAGCTGCTGGCGTATGCCGCCGATATTGACATTCTTAGCCTCAACAACCGTACCGTCAGTACCGCCTTCTTCAAGTTTGATATGAAGAAGCGAAGAGTATGGATCTGGTAGTAAACGAGGACATGACGAAACGTCTCCTGTCATCAAACGCATTCACGACTTGGCACCCACGTCACAGTTAACAGTTATAACTTCGAGATGGTAGATAATTTCGTCTATCTAGGGACCAGTAGTAGCACCAATAATAATGTCAGCCTGAAAATCCAACGCAGAATCACTCTCGCCAACAGGTGCTATTTGAGATTTAGCAGACAATTGAAAAATAAAGTTCTCTCCCGACGAACGAAAACCAAACTCTCATCATACCCGTCCGATGAGACGGCGCTAGGAATTTTCGAGAGAAAAGTTTTGCGAATAATTTATGTGCGCATTGGCTATGGTGAATATCGAATACCGCAAACAATGGAAGGATGAGCTGTACGAGTGGTGCGATGGCTATTTTATTATAATGTCAAAGTAAAGAAATGATCTGTTTGAAGTCATACTTCTCCAAAAGAATTACCTCATCTTAATTTGTTTGCAATTCAAAACCTACCTGATACCTGTGCCAACAAATTACTGCGATTAACTCAAATATGAAACATAAAACAAGTATTTAGTAGTTTGTTCTTTACTGACAAACATATTCAACAACCACATTAGCAATTGCGGCCGGAAAGTAAAATATAATAAATACGAAAGAGCGAATGAGATCTACGCATACACACATATACACACACACACATGTTAATCATAAAAAGTGTTTGTCTTGCAAGAAAATGCTGCAACCGAAATTACTATTCACGCGCTGCAGTCTATGCATACCTACATACGTCACATACATACGTGTATGCACTTGCAGAAGTTTCACAACAACTTATTTATTTATACTTAGTTTTACAGTTATTTAGAATTATTTTTCTTCTTGCGTCTGGTATGCTACGGAACTTTCTTATTGCGTAACCTTATATTAACGTGATGCAAATTAAATTTACCAAGGCTTCTTGTACGAGTATATGTGAGTATTTACCTTGAGTACACCGTGGCGTATGTGTAATACCAAATGTGCGTGCGTGTGCTTAATGCATGTGATCCAAACAAAGACGCACATAATTAAGATCAAGTTTTCAACGAATATTCCTAATAAAGAGTATGCATATTCAGAATTTTGTTGTTGTTGGGTGTTAACTAATTAATTATTAGCAGCTTTCCGTGCGGCTGAGCGTATGGTAGATATCAACCTGAGACTGGAACACTTTAAGCTCCAATTACAC